TATACATGACAGCATAAAGTGCTTTTATTGTCAAGTCTTGGGCAACATTGCCCAACATAGCAAGCAAAAGGTCACTCTTTCCTTACAGAAAGAGATTTCCAAACAGAGAACTCTTTAGAATTAAGAGCTCAAAGGAAGATTTGTTCCAAGGATCTGAGCTAAGGTCTGAAAACATGGCTTCAGCCCCCCAGATTCCCAGGAAAAACACTTTGCATTGCTACACACACTGTTTTATTTGGACTCAGTCTCATCTTTGTGAGAATATTCTCCTCCCACTCCAACTTATTACAGCAAATAATTTAAAACTAACTCATGGAATCAAAAATTAATCCCATGCTGAGTGGTATTATGATTGCTGGAGCAAGCAGTAATTCCTGCCCAGCATCCTTGTCTGTGTACAGATCAAAGCCAGCATTACAGCCAAACATATCCTCAGCTAAGAAGGGCAGCCCCACCACTGCTGTTCCCAGCTGAGCAAAAAGGCTGAGCTTGCCCCATTCCATCATCTTTGGAGTTTACATGCCCAGGAGCTGGGATACAGATAATCTTCAACAGCTGTAGGGTACCATGGTGTTGAATGGGGACCATGCAGCTGAAGAGGGACAGACAGGTGAGCAGAAACTCCAGCTGAGGTGAGCAAGATTTCAGCATTCAGCTTCCCACAGGAGCACTGTGAAGGCTGTTATCCAGGCTCCCTCTTTCCCAGAGACACATGAAGCCTGAAGTCATGCTCACAAACAGCTGACCATTGGAGGCTGCACAGCGCCGAGTTCCCAGGCATGTGAAGGGCACTATCAAAGGGGAGGATTTCCATCAGAGCAGCTTTGTTCTGCATGTTGCACATGGCAGGAGCCGCTGGGCACAGCTCTGATGGCCAGTCTGGCTCAGTCCCCTTTGCTGGGACTGCTCTAATCCAGCCAGTCCCTGGCTGACTCCAGCAGTGCCTTGAGAAACAGGCTCCAAGGCATCAGAGGAAGCCTGCGGTGGTGAGCGGCCTTGGGCTTAACAATCCCGAGTTTGTTCCTGTGGCCACTGGTTTCCTGCCTGGCTTCCAGCAGGCTGTGCCTGGGCAGATGAAGCTGGTTCCAAACAGAAAAACCCATATGACAGGTGATGTATTTTATCCTTGTAAGCCTGCAAACATGAAGTAGAGCTACCAGAGCACATATCAGCTTTTTCATTTCCTGACATCCCCTGCATGAGTGACACTGCTTTGTTTTTGGGACCCACAGCAGTTTGTGCTCCACTGACAGCTGCAGGACAGAGCACCTGACTGAACAGGACACCTGTTGATTTCCAGGACACCTCCTTGCTCTCCCTGTGACCTTGCAGAGGATTAAGATGTACTGTTATAGAAAACAACTGGATTTCTTCATCACACTGGTACATGAGCTGAGAAATCAAGGCCACGTGCCTTCAAAGATGACTTTTGTCCAAGTGACTGTTCCTCACTGCACACTACCCACAGCTCCTCTAGGTGAATATAATGCACAGATAATACTGTCTCAAACCCATGTGGCAGCGATGGCAGTGGGTTAAGGACAGCACCACATCAACCAATGACTTTTTCAAGCCTTTGGATATAGTTAGAGCTGACATTTTGACATTCTTTTATTTCTCATTTGTTTCACAGCTAATATATAAAGAGCAAACCAACACTTCTGGGTTCTTTAGAACGAGGTTTTTTATGTTTGTATCAATGCAGTGCAATCAGCAGCACTTTAAGTGGGACTCCCACATCAGATCTGTTCATCCCAGCCAAATTTGCCCTTTCTTCCAAGTTTTTACTGCCTGTAATGCAGGCTTTCACTTTAAAATACTAGGAAAATACAGAAAAAAAGCCTTGCCTTTGTTCCTGATCCTGTGTGATCAAGTCTTCTATAAACTTCAAGCAGGCCTGGGATCAGTCGTATTAGCTCCTGCTCCAACATTAAGCAGCATTTTTTATGTCTCCATTGTGGCAGCTGAAGGGAAAAAAACATCCATTGGATTCCACCAGCATGAGGAGATTAATCATTCCCCAGGATTTCCAACTAGACTCCTCTACCCAGCATAAAATTTTGATATTCATGTTTCAAATTCTTCTGACTGTTCTCCATCTTAATTAGCGAGTGGAAATCTTCTTGGCCTTTGCCACAGGAAAAAAAAATAGTCTTTGAGATTAAGGTGGGCTCTAATTCACATTTCTGCTTGCCACATTCAAGTAGCATGTTGGTAAAGCAAGTGTACTGTTTGATGGAGATGGAAGGACATAATCCATCCACTGCAAAAGGTGAGTGCTGTGTCCTGAGTGATCTCATTTCAGTGTGGCTAAAGGCAAGGAAGAGCACTGGGTGATTTTGCCAGTATATCCACAATGGCAATTTTAAGCTTTTTATGGGGGAAAAATTGTTTCCTTAAATCTTACTGTTAATGTGTCTACAGGATAAATAAAACATCTAGGATCAGCTACTAAATAATAAGAAAACCTATATAACTCTGTAGCTCAAGGAAAAGTGTCATATTTTTCTGTTGCATTCTCAAAGGTGTGAGAGAAAATGTATTGGTTTTGTCAAAGGACGTGACTTGTGAGGCACCTTCCCCCTGCAAATTGAGAGAAAAATCAATCTGAGAATAGAAACCTCCGGACCAATATTTAGGTACAAAGCTACAGCCATCAAAATTACCTCGCTGACCCAAACTGCATTTTGCTATATCCCCCTAGTCCTGTGCTGTTGCACCACAGCAAGGACATATAACACTAGTGTAGAATCACATAAAAGTTGATAAAGACCTGTAAAACCTTTGAGTCCAGACATAGAATGCCTCGGCCCTGCCTCCCTCCCCTACATGTTAAATGTAGTTGTGTAAAAAGAAATCCTCAACATATTAAAAACTCAGTATAATCTTCACTGATTTTCTTGCTACCTTTTGTGCCTTGTCAGTGCATGCACACTCAAGGATCACTCGTCCAGAAACATTTCCCTCTGACAGAGTTGGAAATTGAAGCTGCACACAAGCTGTTCTGAAACTGAGCAAAAGGCTGGGCTCAGACCACAGCAGACCCTTCTACCTGGGATGTCACCGGGAATCTTGGAAAAAAAACTTTCCCATGTCCTCAACCGTAGGCAAAAGCACAGTGGCTTGGAAAAAAGGAAGGAAAACTCGCAAAGGGGAATGACCCAACACTGGGAAGAGCAGAGGTGAGGGAGGGATGAAGAACTAAGCCATAGGCCATGCTTCCTTCTGGGAGCCATGGATGAAGGAGCAGCCTCCTGAGATGCCTGCAGGGAGCCAAGCACTGCTGCCCTGAGCAGACTCCCTAAGGACACCCAAACCTCTGCTGCAGAACTGTGACATTCCAGGCTGACCCACCACTTCCCACAACTCCTGTGCAAGCCTACCCCTGTATTCCTCTTTGCAAAATAAACGTTTGCAAGAAGTTTGGCATGATCAAAGAGACGCCATCCTACGAGCACAAACACCAGGAGGCAGAAAGCACTGGCCTTTCAGTCACACGTGGCTGGCAGAGCTCGGGGTGTGCTCTTCCCTGCCCGCACGTCGGGACATGTGGTTTGCTCTGTTTGAAAAAGAAAGGTAACACCAACTCACCTTCCCTCGTTAGCCAGGGAAGCACAGAGCTGAAGTTGCCAGCTGAACTGCTCCAGTGTTCCCTTTTCACTGACATTGCATTAGGACTTTATTTTGCAACAATTTAAATACTCAGTCACATACCCTGTGGTCCTTCGCCACCAAGAATCACTTCCAGGCTAATGGCTGCAAACTGACGGAGAGTCTGCTTGGATTAGATATAAGAAAAAAGGTTTTTACAAGGAGGGTGGTGAGGCACTGGCACAGGTTGCCCAGAGAAGCTGTGGATGTCCCATCCCTGGAAACATTTAAGGCCAGGCTGGATGGGGCTCTGAGCAACCTGGTCTAGTGGAAAGTGTCCCTGCCCATGGCAGGGAGTTTTGGAACTGGATGTCCTTTAAAAGGTCTCTTCCAACCCAAACTATTGTATGGCTTCATTTTACTTACAACTCCAAAGAACTTATTAACAACATGGCCAAAAAAGTAACTTTTTAACCCAGCAACTGTTTATTATTGGGAAGAACATTAGGACTTTTATTTTTTTTTCTCTTACATATATTCAATTTGAATAAAAATAATTTAAAAATTTTAAATTTTTCTTTATATTACATGAAAATAACTTGAAACAACTGTGAATTCTGGAAGCAAGAAACATAGACAAAACTGTTATTTAGCTGCTGAGATGTAATTCTTGGATTTCCAAAAAAACCCCCTCAAATAGAGAAACAATCACAATTGTCATTCCAGTGGAGAAACTTAATCCATCTATAAAACATCTTTAAGTCTGAGAATGGTATATCATTACACTAGAAAATATTCATAATATAGCGTATGAGTTCTAATATACCACCTAAAATATATAACTTCTGAGACTTTACAAGGTCAAATACTTTAGACCATATTCCAGTGGAAAAACACTACAAATCTCTTACAATCCTTTTAAAGTTCTTGTTCAATTAACTTTTATTTCCTTTTGAGGAATTCTAATATAATTCCAAGCAACAAAATATTGCATACAAACTAGCTTGCAGAAGTTTATTCACACTAAATTGGACAACCACTGTTTAAAAGGATGAAGCACCTTTAGTAACAGTGACAAAACATCACTGTTAGTGTAGCTGATGAAGAAGCAGATTTTGTGCACAAATTGGTGAAATTTTCATTCCAATAAATTCGATAAAAATGACTGTATATTCAGTATTAAGAAATGCAGCTAACTGGAATTAAAATATCCTTATGGCTGGAGTAGGGTTACAGTGTTACAAGACAGAGTCTACTAATTAGTCCAGTTCATATTATCTGATAAAGACTTCCAATAAAACACTGATTTCTTCCTTTTTTTTTTTTTTTTTTTTTTTTTTTTTTTTTTTATTTTTTTTTTTTTTTTTTTTTTTTTTTTTTTTTTTTTTTTTTTTTTTTTTTTTTTTTTGCTTTTAAAATACATGCTACCTACTGCAATTTCCCTGGCTTATTTCGCTTCTTTTCAGTTTTTTCAGTTGAATGTGAATATAGTTCATCTTCTCATTAACTTCTAGGGTAATGAACACCATTCAGCACTAGCTGAATAGTTTATAGTTTTAAAAAGGAAAAAAAAAAACCAATTAGCATGTCAAGGTCTGACTTTTGAACACAAATCTGCAGAAATATGTACAGTAAAAATGAGATGGACTTTGTGTAGGTAGTCATTTGCACTGAGTACCATATCAAATTTAATGTAACTGTGCCAGTCGAGGGGTCTGATGGCCCAATGGAAAAACACTCTTCACCAATTACAAGGAACAAAGACTATTCATATGATTGTCAAAACTGTTCTCTGCAACAGCCTCACCTCAGGGGTCAATTCTCTTCCAAAGAAATGCTTGAAACGCTGGCTGGTGTTGCAGCCCAACAAACAAACCAATGCCATCTAAGGCAACAATGTCAAACCTTTTCAAAAATAAACATTTGCTTCGGTATATTTTAGCTGGGGAGGGGGGAGGTGGGGGTGTGTTTTGCTTTGTTTTGTTTTGTTCTTGGCTTTTTAATTTTTGTAACTGTCTGCTGTTTCCAGCACCATCTCAGAGGCTGGAACGTTTCACTCCTTCCTCTGCCAGTTGTGTCCTTTTCCACGTGGCAGATGCTGCCCGCCACGCCCGCCGCTCCGCGCCGGTACCGCCTTCTTGTTTTCCTTGCCTGTTACCTGTCTCATCAGCAGAATTTACAGCCCTGGAATGTGATTTCTGAATCAATATGCATTTTCTTTTCCTAAAGAATGCCTTATTTTGCAACCACAGCTGTGTAAAAATATCCTAATTTCATCTAATGAGGGGGTGGTGGCTCTTTTGAGACATATCAGTGACACAATTTAGAAAACCAGGGAGGCATTTTCACCAAACTGCAATATTTTTAAAATGGGGTAAAATTTTGGACCTAAACTGTGCCAATTATCTTGGTTTCTAAATTAATTATTACTTTTAGTTTTACCAAGAAATATTCTAGTGGTATGAACTATGGATTTTTTGAAATTATGAAGCATATTTATGTTTTACTTCTCTAAATATATTACTCATTTATTCAATTAATCCAGGATTCTACCATACTGTCAACCAACTATAGTAGTCCAGAAATGTTTTCTGCTTATGGAAGGGGCTTAATCACTAAACCACACCTCCCTGCAAAGCTTCAGTATTTCTGATTGGTAAAAAGCTTTTCTCATTGAAGTAATACTGAAGTGGAGCCCTAGTCCTCCTCCATATATACGACTGTCAAGTAAATTAACTTTTCAGGACAAAATGCTGATCACATTCAATGATGAGCCACGCTGTCATGCTCAAGACAGCTCCAGTGGTAGCTCTGGTGGCACAACTGTGTATCTTGGGTCAAGCTTAGGTGTGAAATCCTTGAAGTTCTTAGATGCTTCAGTACCAAACACATCTAAAGCTTTTCTGTTCATGTGAGCAAACCTGAAAAAGAAAAGACAAGAAAGCATGAATGCATGACTCACTTAGGAAAAAATAAAATTATTTCATGTTATGAAAGTTTACCAAAATCTCTGACATATAGGCTTCAACCTGCACTGTTCAGTTATTGAAAGTTTTTCACCTCAGGCAATAAAGATTTTTTTTTTTAAATTGCATTTGAAAAATGTGGCTAATACTGTTTGTGTAAGTGTACTTCAAAAATGCAACTTATGAAAAAGGGGAAGAGTCCCTTTCTACTTTTAGTTCCACAAAAAAAAGATCAAACCAAAATACTACTGTTACTGATACTATTGTTCGCTCTCACTCCAGCAGGGCAAACTGTGGCCCCGCCTGCCCAAGTCTGGATGCCAATTTTATGGGTGTTACAACCTATTTCCATTTGGTTGCTCTTTACAACTATAGAATAAGAAGTGTATGAAATGTCAAAAGAAACTGCCTTTATGGAGAGAGTGTCAAAATTACTATTAGAGAGATTTGCTTCAGATAAAATAAATGAGCAGAACAGAATTTCTATTCCTTCCTCTCCTTCAATTAAGGCAAGCTTAGGATTAGGACAAAATGAAAAAATGCAGCCAAAATTGGACATCTGCACTGACATCATTCCCTGTATCATGTTTGTATGGCCTCAGAGGTTGCCTGAGGACTGTCTCCAGGCATCCCAAGGAAAGCTTCCCACTAAATCTTGCAATGTATTCAATCATCTTGTGTGTACTGTGCCACAGGGAGCATAGGTTCAACATGCTCCAGGGACTGGCCTCTGATTTCACTTCTATTTTTACAGCCTGGAGAGCTCGTTGTCACGAGAAACATTACCTTTTATAACCCCATTCATAAACTGATCAAGATTTGTATGCCTTGTTCCTGCCACACACTGCACCAGTGTAACAATGTACATTTCACTAAACTGTATTTTAGTCAGTTACAGCAGGATCTATTTTTAAAAGAAAGTTTTTTAGATTCCTGCAGCAAATAGAAAAAACATCCAGTATGATATTACAGTCTATATTTATGATTATGATCAGTGAAAATTTTTATTAGCTTTCCAAGAAACAAAACATCCTTTCCCAACTGAAACATTTATTAAAAAGTACTGAAACTTTCAAGTGTTCTTAGGAGATATTCTGACATTTCTAGTAACACTTTTAAACCCATAGTAAAACCATGTTGTCAATCACTGTACATATTAAGTGATTTCTTCAACACGTATAGTTGTTTACTGGATTCTTCATGTTCCAATGGAATTTGAAAGCATCCCACCCTCCAAGTGAACTAAAAAGGCTTCAAGCAAAACACTCATCTGCTAAATAATCTTCACTAGAGTTGTCTGCTCCTGCCATTACACTAAACGCAGCAAGTCACTTCAGCAGCAAAGAACTGGAAGAATACTGGAAACTGAAAAGCAAAGTAAATCCACAGGAAATTAGCCCTCATGTACTTCTAGTGCTCTGCTGCTGGCAGTGAGTGACACAGAAAGCCAAGTGTGATCAATGACAGCTTTAGACAAGCCAGAACACACCCCTGAGTACATACCTGCCCTTCGTTAGTCGTAAAAGAAATTTCCAGTATGAAGGTCTCAGGTTCTGAACTTCCATGACAGCCTGCAAGGAGAGGATTCTGTCAGAGCCAGCTGACAGTGTCAGGCAAAAGCTTCAGCTGCTAAATTAGGTTGCCAAAATCAGCAAAAGGATTGTTATGGAACTTATTTTTACTGCTCTCTGCTAAATTCAATGCTCTGTATGACCACCACCAGCACAGACTGATATTCCCAGGAGAAAATATTTTACCAATGGTGACAATTAACTTACATCTCATTGCAGAGAAAGCAACAATCATTGTTCCTACATATATGACTTTGGACTGGTGGATGCCAAATTTACCTCCCACTTAATCCCCTATCTATTCTGCGTTTTGTGATCCACCATTTCTTGTAGTCATATTTATATTTCATGTTACATTATCTTAAATAATGTCATATATCCAAAATTCATGTTATATATTCAAAATTCATGTCTTCTCCATTACTTTTCTGGGTCACTTAGAAATACAGAGAATAACAAACATCTCAGTGTAGATCCTTTTTCTAATTTCTCCTTCCTTCTTCCTGCTAAGCCTAGCAATTTGCTTCTAGTCTTAGATTCATTTTCCAATTAGTTATTAAGTAATCAACAAACCCTTCTTTTCTCACATGAACTTTTTGTCTGTTAATCTCACATGACTGTCCCTGACAGGAGTATTTTATCAATTCACTTTGATACTAGATTTAGAGATATTCCCAAGTACATGGGAACAATGAGAAGTGTCTCTTAAACGTCCTGCTAAACACAAGACTGCAGAAGATTGCTTTAGGGTCATTTTATATTCTCTTTATTGGGGGACACAAAAAATATACATAGTTATGGAGGTCCAGAGAATATGCAATTCATACAGGGACATTTCAGCACAAGGTCTAGAAATGGTGAGATGTAGAAAATGGTAGAGCTATTTGGGTAGCACTGAAAAGCTGATTTTGTAGCTAATGCAGACAATTAAAGGACTGAGGGTAAAGGCATGTAGCTAACTTGAGTAAAGGCATGTAGCTAACTTGAGAAGTGCAAAAGATGGTACCCACAGCTTGTGTCAAATGTAACACTTTAGGGTTTTAACTATTTTTTGCAGATTTTTTCCAATTAGGCAATATTAATTTAAGTCAGTGGAAACTTTCAGATGATTTAAAAAAACATAAGATATTGTATTATACCGTTTTCCTCCTTGAAAAATTGTCCTTTCAAATGCTCACAAAAGTTCATACATTAATGTTCATATTCTGGGTGAGTGCATTTTAAGAATTCAATGCTTTGTATAATGTATTCAGCTATAAGCACAGGAGAAACTGAGTTCTAGAAATGGCCTTCCCACAATGACACTCAAAACCAGGATGCAGGAGCCCCAGGATGCAGGAGCAAGATGCTGTGAATCACTACATCTCACCCTCACCATCTTTTCTAAAGAACTAACTCCCTGTGCTCCTCTTTTCATTCAACATTTAATTTAAAGACCTTCATGTTCTGTTAGAGATCACACTTACTGCCTGAAAGCATATCGATGTAGAAATGGCATAGATGATGCTGTCTGCATGAGGAAAATAGGGAACCTTCCCTGCTTCAATGCCTTTGAAATATATAGTCTATAAAAACAAACAAAAAATGTTGAATGTAACAAAATCCAAGTATCTTTTTACTTTTTTATTTTACATAAAAAAAAGTCAACTTTATATTTTTTATATGCCCACAAATGTGATGTTGATTAAAATAGATTATAAAAGCTGCACAACATCAATCTAATAAGAGGCTATTAATGCACAGAACAGGCATGCATTAATAGTTTGGGTGTTACAGAACCTAAAGGTAAAAAGGGGAAAGTTTGCTCTGTTACATTCTTCATTTTATAAACGAAAAAGGACAATGCAATAAATATTCCAACAAAGTGAATATTCACTGTTCTTAAACAGCTTGAAATCACATACTTTACTTTCTGAGAAAACATGTACAGTTTATTTTCCTGAGCACAGCCTGACCTTGCAAAGCAGCACACGCCTCTTTGGTCAGTTACCCTTGGCTTGCGTAAGATGATAAAAGTAGTAAAAAATAAAAAAAAAAAAAAAAAAAGAAAAGAAAAGGAAAGAAAGAACACACAGCACTTTTCTTATTTCACCATAGCCAAGATGTGTCAAAGTCCAGAGAAAACCATCAGCAATACAAGATAATACTGATTTTTTACAACTGGAGTTCTAAAAGTCATTATGGGTAACTCAGATTTGCCTTTATATGACCAATATGTGAACTGCCTTCAGAGCTTGGTCTGGGATAACTAGGATGAGGAACAGAGAGTATCTTCCTTTTTTATGTCTCATTTTATGTATAACAAAGAAGTTATTTTCTTTAAAATGAATTATGCTCTGGTAATGGAGGTGGATAAATATCACTAGAGAAAAAGGCCTTCAAGTTCTGTAGGAGAAATATGTGATTCAGGTATGATGCATAGTGAGAGAACCTTATCAACTCATTCCAGTGATGTTGGGGAATTAACCATGACTAAGTCTCAATTTTCTGGAAAAATCACATTAAGAAATCAAATGCTGGTTAGAAAAGTATAATCAATATACCCAAACTCTGTAACTATTTTTTTTTTTTCCTGGGCTCCTAATTTTAAATGTTCAGAGAAATAATTCAAGCTTGAAGAAAAGTAATTAGAACAAAGTTCATTCCAAAGCTGGGAATTCAATCAGCTGTCGTACACTGACAAACAACTTCAGCTATAGACTAAAACCTAAGCTATTTTGAGTTATCTTAGACTTTTGAATGCCAAAATTAGGAAACAAAGGCAGGAAGTTAAGCTGTAGCTTTTGGCAATAAATCTGCAATTAAGGACTAGGTCTGATTTATGTTTCTGGCAGAACAGACATTCTTGGAACTTTCTGATTTAAGAAATCTGCAAAAACTACAAAGCAAAGGGTTGTGAGGAGATTAAAAAAAATTGTGGAGAATATACATGAAGATAAAGGACATTTAAAATTAATCAAAGAAAAGAAAGTAAGAAAGAAATGAGACCATATGGCAACATTGCCTCTTGGCACACAAGCATTGAAACACCATCACCATACACCTTTGTATTTTACTGGAATTGCTTAACAAAACCCCTGATGTTTTCTTTTCTTCTGCCTTTTAAAAATAGATTAAATGAAGACCTCTTTTAGGACAGTAATAACTTACCTCTACTAATTTAGACACCAGATACATAGAGATAGTTGTACTTTTGTAAAACATCATAGAAATTCCTGCTAGACACCCTGTAACAATTAGAAAAGCATTGTTAAAGTTGTGATTTGCATTGTTAAGGTCACTGCTGTGTGTCAGCCCAACAAACACTGCACAGGACTATTTATTTCAACTGCTACAGACAGCATAGTTCAGTGATGTTCTTTTGCTGCCCATCCAAATATGGTTTGTATCACAAAAAACAGAAAGTATCAGAAAAGCTGAAACAAATCTGTACTTCAGTGCTCAGGAGCACACTATCAAATTTCTCTGTTTTTTGTGGGATGAGAGATCTCTGTGGTTCCAACATGTGACAGATGCACATGAGGGAAGGGCCTCACCACCACACAAATTTCATGGTAAAAGCATCTTTCTTTGGACCCAGTAGAGGTCAATGTGTATTCTGCCACATACGAAGAGCGAGTATTTTCATCTTGGCTGCAAATTAAAGGATAAGTTTATATTTATGCACACAGTAATCTAGTGTCCTTAGAGCTGAACATAAACTCAATATTTGACTAAATTTGCCTTACAGTTTTAATTGCAACTCTTTCTTTGACAGTACTTGAAACATCACTGTCACTTTGACACAACCTTGATGTACACAGGAATAGGAACAAAGTCCTATTTTCATCACAGAAGTCTGAAAATGGAATGGGAGGACAGACAAGAGGAATACTTGCAGAGTCTCAACACACACAACACGAATTTTCCATGGACTCACCAGCTACAAGTGCATGAAGCTCATCATCTAGGTTTCGGACCCAGCGCAGGAAACAACTTGTGCCCTGGAGGTGAACAGAATGCAGGCTTAGCCCTACTTATTTCTTGTAACACACAGACTGGAGGTATTCCTTATAATCTAGTAATATAGCACACAGTATGGTTTAAGAGTGTAGTGTTATAATCCCCGTAATCACAGAATCATGAAATGGTTTGAGTTGGAAGGGACATTAAAGATCATCTCATTCTATCTCCCCTGCCATGGGCAGGGACACCTTCCACTAGACCAGGTTGCTCAGAGCCCTATCCAGCCTGGCCTTGAACACTTCCAGGGATAATGCTTTCTTCTACTTGGTTAATTTTGTTACAATAGAAAGCAATTTAATTGATAAGTGAGCAGGCAAACTTTCCCATTGTAAGAGTCTTGTAAGAGAAATGTAAAATCACACAGTAATTTCTTAAGCTGCAGAAACTTTCATTACTGAGAGACATAATATCCAATTAGGTAATCTTTACCACATCAAGACACATTAAATTACATCAACAAAAAGCAAGAAATCAACACAACTAAAGAACAAGCTTTTTAAAAGCGCTTGTGATACTAAAGTCCAGGGAGTTAGACATAGGACCCATAACAATTCAGTGTCTTAAATTTACAAATTACTGCTGCCATTTCTTTCAAAATTGGAAAGCAGATTAATCTAATTTGAATTCCAATCTAATACTAAAGTTATTATTGAATTCATGTCATCTTCATTTGCTGTACCTGTCTAGACTTTTTCCCATTATAAAAGTTTTTTCAACTACATACCAAGCCTCCAAAGATTTTTTTCATGCATCCAATAAATTCTGGAACTAGGAAAACACATGGATCCAATAATGTAGAACTGCATATCCCTTGGATCCAAAATGCATCAAACATTTGATTTTTTTTTTTTGCCATGGTCCAATTTTTTTGAGTGACTAGAATCTTTGCTGCCCTACATGCCTATTTAGACTGGAAGAAAAATATAATGCAACCCCAATTTGTGTAAGTTATGAAATGGAGAATCATTTAGCTGGAAAGGACATTTAAGATCAAGTCCAACTGTTAACCTAGCATCCACCAAGCTCACCAGTAAACTACATCGCAAATGCCACGTCCACACACCTTTTGAACACTTCCAGAGACGGCAATTCTACCACTTCCCTGGACATCCCGCTGCAGCACCTGAAAGCCTTTAAGTGAGGGAAGATTTCCTGCTATCCAGTCTAAACCTCCCCTGGGCAACTTGAGGCCAATTCTTTTTGTCCTGCCCCTTGCTACTTGGGAGAAGAGACTGACCTACACCTGGCTGTGCCCTCCTTACAGGCACTTGTAGAGAGTGATAAGGTCACCCCGAGCTTCCTTTTTTCCAGGGTAAACACCCCCAATTCCCTCAGCCACCCCTCATCAGTCTTGTGCTCCAGACCCTTCCCCAGCTCCACTGCCCTTCTCTGGACATGCTCCAGCCCCTCAATGTCCTTCTTGTAGTGAGGGGGACAGACCTGAACACAGCACTCGAGGTATGACCTCACCAGTGCTGAGTACAGACTTATAAAATAGCAAATAAAGGTCAGAATAGGTCACCCTTATAAAATGAGTATCCACATGGCTGAATTGCACCTCTCAACTGAAGCTTTTAAACACAACAAAATCATTTTAGCTTTCACAATTTAAATGCTTTCTTCTTGGAAAACTTTTCTTCTTAAAGTTTAAGCAAAAATTTAATTTTCAAGCAAACTCTGAACAGCTCATTTGCACTTTGCTATCATAAATTTTAGACTCTGTAACCTATAAATTATTGTCCCTCAATTTAATTACCAATCAAGTGAAGTGCTGTTTTGCTTATGTGTAAGACCTCCTTTTTTACTTTTCAGTAAATAATATTTACCCCGAATAATACAGCATGATCTTGAATTTGCAAAGCAAATAAAGTGGCACTTGAAAAATGCCATGTGATTAAGAATACAAAAGATACTTCAGCACTGCACTGTGCAATATATTCTGCATTAGGGCAGGTGCTTTGCCACATTCTCTTTTGGCATAAATAAACATAATTTGATTAATTCCAACAATGCTGTATGAATGAATGCATATCAGTTCACAATCTGTCATCTTACAATGGGGTAGAAGGGATACTTTCCAAGCAGTAAGTGCAATGTCTCCTCAGCTACACACTGTGTGTTCTGCAGTCTCCTGCTATTTAGTGTCAATTAAGAATTCCAGATATGTGACCCAACAAAATCTGCACATGGCTTCTCTCTGGCAACACAGACACTACTGCAGTCACTACTTGTGCCTGCATGAAAATGCCTTTATGTACCAGCCAATCCCTCTGAAATCTGAATTTACTTTCTCTAAAGTACTCTCTATCTCCTGATCCTGAAAATAAGCTGCAAAATCCATCAGGTTTATTTAGAAATTGCAGAAAAAATGCACAGAATGTAAAAATAGCTTCCTGCTTACAATTTGATTACTGCAATAGTGTAAAATTTGTCAGCAACATGCTGTAACAAGCAGTACCAGTACTACTAAGCAGCTTGACTTTTTAGCTCTTTGTGATACTCTGAAAAGTGAAATAAAAACCAGAGCATTTGTCATTTCTGTATGCTATAAACTTACTTTGTATATACTGACAAAAGATCCCAGAAAAGCTCCAAGCTGGAAATTTTCCTTGTTGTAGAAGAGGGAAAGTAGCCGTGATGGTTGTGTAAGCAGATGCCGGAAGGTGGAAGGAATCCGAAGGCAACACTGGATCAGGTAACCAATGCTAAACATCCTAATGAAGCCCTAGAGAAAAGAAATAGAGACTTTGTGGTAAGAAACCACAAATTCTGAAAAAGGAAAAGCAACAGCTTCTACAGGTTTTATTTTTGATATCAAATAGTTTAAAACCCACTCTGAAGGTAATATGTAAAATGAATAAACGTATCCTATCCCCACCTTCTAACTCAAGAATTCTCTTTTTCCCAGTTACCCTATGAAATAGCAAAGGCAGTAAAATCACAGACAATTGACTCTTCTTTAATGTCTATGAATTTCTGAAAGATCTCAAAAGAGAGTCTTCCATTCTACTCCAAAATTCTGTCCTTTGAAATAATCCTGATGACTTCATTTCTAGCTCACCGACCAGCTTTTAACCACAAATGGGTTTATGAGGAAAGCAATGCGGTGGGAAAAAAAGAACAGTTCTGTACTCAAATGTCTGGAAAAAACAGTCAGGAGGAAAAAGTTGACCCAAAATAAATTTCAGAAAGTGTGAGAATTAGAAGTTAACCCTGGTGGCTTGGCACATGCTCATGGACTTATCCTCAGCCAAACATGAGGTTACAGGATGCCTTTAGCAAGGAAAAGGGAGAAACTGGAAGGGACTTCATGTGCAGAGCTCATGAGAAGAGATAAAATTGGATCCAAAGAATTTACGTACTATCACACCTTGGATAGGGAGCTGTTTTTTCTTTAACTTGACACAAAACCACATTCACTTTTTTTCCCAAATTATTCTACCCACTTTCTTCTAACTTCCTCCAATGCTTCCTACCATTATTCTAACCCTAGGGTGAACCTTTTTTAATAATTTGGAATAAATTTTACCCAGTTTTTGTTTGGAAGATTATTTATGTGAAAACTATTTCTGCACTCACCTACAAATAAGGCAGGCACCTTATTCAATTACAAGGACACAGTTCCAGTGACAAGGAAATCTGGCAGAGGGTTTGACTGAGCAACCTTTCAGACTCAGAAACTCAAACCATTTTTGCCTCCTAAAGAACTTTATAATGCATCATAAAGCTCATAAAATTTTACTGTGGTTAAACATCCAGTAATAAACTCTTCCTGAACAATTACTCTTCCTGCTACTCAAGAAGTGGTTAACGAGAATCAAGTGGAAGAAAAGAAGTCATCCAATGATACAACAGCATTTTTCTGATTGAAAAAATTCCACTCCTTCATGCCATTATAAAAAAAAGAAGAAAAGAGTCCTAAATCCAGCAGTGATGAACAAAGACCAAAACAAGAAACAACAGAATGGTGTGTTTGAAGTTTTTACAAAGCAAAGATGACTTCAATGGGGTGAGAAAACATCTAAATTACAACCGGAAACACTCAAAACACATCCCTGATTTTATTCCTATTAATAGCCAAATTAGAAGGGCTGAACCACAGGACTGAGTTTTAGTGTTGATTTGCATTAAATACCAAGTATTGTGCAAAGTCTCTCCATTTACCTCATTACTTCAACCAGGTGAAGTCATATCACACTTACAGGAGTTTTTCCACAGTCACAGGAAGCATTATATCCTATAACCCATGTACAGTATTCTAACTTTCATCTTACATAAAAAGAACTCCAGGAAGAATGGATGTACTACACAGCAGAGCATATGCAGGACACTGTAATAAACACAACTGAGCAAAGAAAACTCTGCTAAGAGCCATTTCTCCACAGAGACTTTAAGCTGGAGCTCAGATTAGCCAGAAGTAGTAGCACAGTGCAATGAGATATCTCCAGAATTTGTTGAATAAACTTTTCTTTCTGTTTTTGAGAAACAAATTTCTTAATAATACATTCAAGATATTTGCTAGAACTCAAATTCAGAAAAGCACATGTGCACATAAACAGAGTTCAGAAACATTACCAAAAACTCAGTCAACCTGTTGCAATATATTAGGAATTAGTTAAGATGGTTAAAATAAATTAATTAAGATATTTTATATTTATTCTGGGTATATAGTAGCCCACATTCCTTCAGGAGACAGAACTTTTGAGACTACAATCGTAATAAAATAATATCAGAGAAGTCATGGATACCCCATTCCTGGAACTGCTCAAGGTCAGGTCGGATGAGGCTCTGAGTAACCTGCTCTAGTGGAAGGTGCCCCTGCCCATGGCAGGGGGCTGGAATGAGATGGTCCTTAAGGTCCCTTCCAACTCAAATCATTGTATGATCCTACAACCTTCTTTGAGGTTACTGGTGACCCTAGTCACCAGTAAATTTGGAGAGTTATCTGGTCCTGTCGCAGCACCAGCAGAAGAAACAGACAACTGGACTTCTACTGCTGCCTAATGGCTCCTCACTGTAAACAAGTGGAATCCTGAAGAGGAAGAATATTGCTCCACTGCTTCTGTCACGGCTCTTTTCCGACATTTACAAGAACAAAGCATTTCAAGTATTTAAAGTCTGAAGGGAAGTCAATGAACTCAGGTGGTATGGCACTACTGAATTGTTACATAAAAGCCATGATGCTGTCAATGAGTTCATGTTCATTTAAATGTGAAGCAGGAGAAGAAGAGCATGCAAATGGCAGTTAAAGCACAGATGTATTAATGAGAAGAAAAGCTGCTCAAGGGTAAGGGAAAACAGCACTGAGGGGAAGTTTTGGCAATAAGCAGCTCATCATATCGTTATCAGATTTGAAAGCTCCATTACAGAAAAGGAATTGTAAAAACATGCTCAAATCATGTCAGCTGACAGTTGTTACTGATCAACTGCAGGAACAGTCATAGAACTGAACTTTGAGAATTTTGGATCCTTAAAAATATAAATAAATAAAAATAATTTTTTTTTCACTCATGTTCTAATTTAACAGGACAAAAAGGAAATTAGAGGATCTGACTGCCACTTCAGCAGTATCTTCCTCACTAGATTATTGTAGTCAAGAATAATATACACTACAATACTACAGAGGACATGTCCAAGAATACAGTATATTTCAAATAAACAACTGCCTTCTCTAAAGAGAAAACAGCCTTATAAAAATTTCTTTTTAAAATTTACTTTTTTTCAGGCCAATTCTTTACTCAGCTTTATTATCAGTTAGGTTTTTTCCTCCCCTTATTTCATTTAAGGATATATAAAACAAAACAAAATGATCCTGAATAAATAAGTGAAAAGGATGCGTATTCCTGAATATCCACCTTCCTTCCCTCCCCATCCTCAGGTTCCTTTAACATTTTAAAAAGTTATTTCTGAAAGTAATACACATTAAAAGCATCTGAAGATACTTAAATACATTTTTTGCTGCTCCATATATAAAAACAGGTCAACTGTTAAGGGACTGGGATCTTCTGGAGCCTTACCAACTCCCGAAACAGGCATAGCAGGTGGTACCACCTGCGCCAACCCAATGCCAGCCAACACAAATTTCTGCCCAGTAATTCTCTGAAAAAAAATTGCACTGATCACATTAATAATGGAGGATAAATTATACCACCAGAGATAAACAGCTCTTCCTGGGCGTAGCAACTGTGACCAATCTCTCATTACCCCGAGCTCTTAAAATAAACGCCTGGAGGAGTGCAGCCAGTGCCCAGCAGCGACGTTCCAGAGCTGTGCAGCTGCACGGGAACCACGGCTGCCTGCCACAGCAGCACATTCCAGGTGCTTTATTTAGGGGGGAGTCACAAGTGGGCTCAGCCGTGAAGTGCATCACATAGCTAAACAAGTTCCTTGCTTGCTAGGCCGTTTTTTCCCACACATTTTATGTTACTCATTCACTACAGCTAATCTGAAAGACACAAGAACTTTAACCCTACCACCACCCTGTCCTAAATTGAGAAAATCTGTTTTCTGGCTTGTCACATTTTCAATAGAAGAAGAATGAGTAACAGGCTCATTTCTCACTTCCTAAGCATATGCTTTTCCTGATTACAGACTTTTACCCCTCTTTGCCAGAGTTTGTCAATCCAACTTTTTCTGCACTTACTTTAATACAGTATGAGATGCAATTATCTCCATAGTGTTTACAGCATCTATGCCTTGGGCCATGTTTGCACCTGCAAAAAGCATAATGAAACACGTATTAACTCGTAGCTGTTTTCAGCATCAGCAACAGGAGACTTCATAAATTTTTCTTGCCTAAAAATACATAAAGTGCTATTTGCCCAACACTCATTCTCCCCATTACCCACTGAAGGGAACTGTGAACTTTTATGATGCCATAAAAGGACAATAAAAACTAACAATACTTTAGTTGTACCCCAAGAAAAAAGTGTCTGCACACTTACTTGGATCCAACCTCTTGCCATGTTACACATAAAATGCTAAATTAAAGAACAAATTTTCTGCTGTGGTGAACAAGCAGAAGCAATGTGACCTCTCCTGGTTTGTCTCTGCTCCATGGCTCTGGAAGGATATTTGAACAAGCATCTGTTACCTGTGTCTTTCATCTTTCACACCACTGTAAGGGTCACTGAAGGGCAATGCAGATCATACAAATGCACACCCTGTGAGACTTCTCTCAATTGCAAGCCTCTCACTTTTGGGCTATTTCTTCTGCAGTGTAGATTTTTATGCAGCTCTTCCTTTGGACTGAGAATTTGACCTTGAGCATTTAAAACAGACTGGCTTGGGCTGGTGGGATGTGTGGATTGTACAGTTTCTAGCCCTGTATTATGTAGAATTAAAATAAGTCATATCATACTGGGTCTGTACGTTATATTTTGCTATATCCAAGTATTTTAGATTTAATGTAAAATAAATTACAAAATTTATAAACTATGTCAAATATCTTGGAAGTTTTGAATCGTGTACTATAAAGTCTAATGGTCATAAATCATCTGTGAGGTCAGTTTATGTAGCAAAATTGTAATGAGAATGTGCTCAGGTTACAGGCATTTAGACTCAATTATATTGAAAAGAACCATATGGAAGAGAAACCAGTGGGAGCATAAAAACTCCATATTGAAAGTTTGCTGAATGTGTGAGTTGGGAGTTTCAAAACCTTAAATAAAAGTTCTCCATCTTCAAACCTTGCATTTAACCAGAAACAGAAGAGCAATGAACTATCTCTAGCAAACTGAATAGCAGGTATTTAAGACAAAACAGGCATAAGCAATTCAGGTAAAAGCATTTGATTATGGCTGGAGGTGTCTTTTCCTTGTAGGTCTTTTGCTGTCTAATACAGTCATGTCTGAAAAGCCACTGATGACTTCCCTCATATTTTTCAACTCAAACCCACAGCAAATCATAGGAAGTCACCATGTAATGGGGATCACTTCATCATTGCTCATCATCTGAGCAAATAAAACAAGCCACTACTCTTGAGTACACAATGGACTTTGAAAACTGTCACCTGCATGACAGCAGGCAGAGATTTGGTCATAAAACTGCTCTTGAAGAGATTGGTGGAAGTGAAGATTCCTAGGTGTCACATGAACACAGCCCTAACCCATTTTTCACTCCATCTTCCCTGTAAATGAATGACTCCTCATGGTATCCAACATGCCTGAAGCAGAGGAATCAATCATAGCAGAAGTATGTCATCTGATCATATAAGACTGAAAAGCTCACTGCTCTCACTTCTTTAAGCTCATATAAAAGACAGTGAATTGGATCCTGTAGACAGGGGGACATCCACCTTGCCTAACTTCAGATGTCTAGATCTGACCTCGTGTAAAACAGTTTTAGACTCACTCTTTCCTTTGCAATTTCCCATCTCCAGACAGCAGAGGAGCCCACATGCCATCAATCCTCCTTTTAGGTGGTTCTCTTTTATGCATTACAGGGATGTAGGTCCCCCAGAATATGTTATGATCACTTGTGGTAACATAAGTAAGGTCTGCTGCTGTGCAATTTTTTTCTTAATAGTACCATTAATTCCAGCAGAACTATGCCATGAACTGGTTTTGCTGAAAACTGCAGAAAAAGCAACCACTATCCTGCACTCATCATGGACTGAATTTGCTCTCCCTTGTTAGACAGCTGCATGTTGCAAGGTCTCGACATACAGGTCTTCAAGTTTTCCTTTCGCTAGACTTCATCATCTGCCACTATTAACTACGTAGCAAAATGAAATAGAAAAACACTGAAATGAAAAGCACAGGTATTACAAAACATTGTCAAATACAGCATAACAGACATTAAAGTGCTCTATATAACAATGATTCTTTTTTTGTTGTTTTTCTTTTGGGTTTTTTTCACTCACACTTTGTCCATGAGCTTTTTTGTTAGTGCCAGTATGTTCATTGGCTGTGATACTTTTTCACTATGCTTGATTTTTCTATCTGTTTTTGAAAATGCTGCTTCAGGTGAAAAAGAATGGGTGGGGATTTCTTCCTTCCCTACAATGAACCTGAAAGAAAAAAGCAAAACAGAACAAAGCAATTACATAAGTAACTCAAAGAAATACATGAAGTCCTGTATAAGCCTCTAAGATTGAAGTTACTCCCAGGCCTGTAAAAACTCATCTTATACAGCTACCAAACCTCATATGTCTTTAGAGAAGATCACTCCATTGACATGTATTTAAAGATATACTTCAGCTAGAGGATACAATTGATGCTGGGTATTTTTTAAAACTAAAAAAAAACATTAATAGGGAAGTCCACCCCTCAGACAAAGGAAGAACACTGAGTAAGAATATAAAAAGGCACTTGAAATATCTCAATTCTCTCCAGCAAAATGGGGTTACATAAAGGTTGATAATTACCACAATGTTTTTTAAAAATATATATTTTGAAGAATCTTCAAAATGTTTTTGCTCCCACTGTAAGAATCAACTTTGATTTGCTTGGCCTCATCTTCAGCCTTCTTTCTTCATCCAGAAGTTGATATTGTCAATATATTGGCTCATCTTAGATGTAGAATTACTGTGTATCAAGAGCAAGGGAGGACGCAAAGGCAAGATGTTTCCTAACACCATGAACTATAATCCCAGTTACACTGTACCTTGGCAGTCTTGCCAAGGATAAGAAGATATAAAAACTTTGTCATTCTGTAATGCAGCAAATAAGATCCAGCTAAAAACACAGCAGCCATTTGCTTCCAGGAAAATATGGGTTATCATGAAACCCAGTTTTAGAAAGACAGAAGATAAGCACTCCTTCAAAAACATGCAATCATATGTCTGAGTTTCCTTTAATAACATTCCCAAATATGAAGGGATTTCTCTCTCTTGCTAACACACAAAGAGGAAACTGCCTCAAGCTGCACCAGAGGAGGTTTAGATTGGATATTAGAAAAATTTCTTCACTGAAACAATTGTCAAGTATTGGAACAAGCTGCCCAGGAAGTAAGTAGTGGAGACACCTTCCCTGAAGTATTTAAAAGACATGTAGATGTGGCACCTGGGAACGTGGCTTAGTTGTGGACCTGGCAGTGTTAGGTTACAGGTTGGATGATCTTAGAAGTCTTTTCCAACCAAATGATTCTATGATTATGCCTTCTTCAAAATATGTTCTATACCCAAAAGTTGGGCACATTTTAGAGCACCATGATTTTTCTTAGGAATAACCTTTTCTTAAAATGCAGCTGCCACTGTGCATGATTCCTCAAAATCCTGTCTTACTTAGTCACAGAAACTTTACTTACTTTAGTGCAGAGTATGTAAATCCTTTCAAGCCATCTTTGCACCTGAAAGACAAAACCAAAAGATTTCTCTATAATGGGCTGCTGGCAATAAAAGTGTTACAGATTAAATGTGGCATAGAAGGGCTGTGGAGGAACACCAGCTTTTCATTAACAGCACATTTGCAACAACTCCGTGGTTATCCTCGATTCCCAGTTGTCACCACAGCCTTGGGACATCTCTGAAACAAAGGACATAGCATCAAATGCCAGTACTTCGCTTTTTTACCCAAACCAAAAGTGGAGAAATTTTTCAAGGATGGTAACAGAACCACTAGGATAACAATGTGAGATGATAAAGAACTGCTGCTTTGTGGAAAAGTAGTCATGATGAGTTTAACAAAACAGAAGTTTTTACTGCAAGGACAGAAAGGAGAGTTGGATCTCAATGAACACCCACCCTTCTTGTGAAAAGCTGCAGGGAATAGTTTCTCTGACTTTGAGACAAATTGTTGCACTTTGGAAAGTGCTGATCTCTGCAGCTTCTTACTTTAAAAAGACTCTTAATCTGAAAGTCCCAGTTTTTCAATTATATAGTCAGTAGTTGCTCAGATTCTGAGCTTGATAGTATGTACACATATAATATGTACATATATAATGTATATGTACATATATAATATATATATCTGTTCTTACCAACTATAGGGTTCCTTTTGTGAAGAATGAACACAGCAAGGAGCCCGTATTTCGCTATGAAAGAACTGGGTTACTGACTTTTATCTGTCCAGGATACAATAAAAGGAGCTGAAGCTTGCAGCTGCTACTGATCCCTCCTGAAAAACTATACTGATAGCATAGGAGGAGATATTTGTGTTTTCTCCCCTTTTCTTTTTGTAGAATTGCATGGAGAATACATGATGGTAAAAATGCATTCCTGACACAGTACACAAAGTATAAACCAATAACTTATCAACACCACCATTTCAAGAGCACACCTACTCTAAGGGAAGGCAGGACAGCAGTTGCAAAAGCCTTGTAAACAGAAGCAGCTGATGACAACCCTTTGCCTTCCAGCTGCAGAGACCACATCGTCCCTGGAAATGCTGTGCCCACACCCTTCAAGAGCAGGTGACACCATCTCCCAGAAGGCTCCCTGCATGATCAACATGTACTACCAATGGCTGGAAACACACAAACAGCAGGAAAAACATATCAAGATCAAAGATGTTCACAAATGAAGAATGTCTTGCTTGGTCCTGGCAGGGGAGTGCCTGGTGCAGAGCTGGTAAGACATCACAGCACTAAACTCTCCTGGGAAGTTCTTCCCAAGGTTACAACCTTCAACACATGTTTCCAAGGACTTGGTATTGTCAGCATGTGCACAGTTACACACAGCACCAAAAAAATCATTGCAATGAGTTTGTCTTTTAAAATGACTGCATTTAAAATATGGGTCACATATTTATGATGTATAGGAGTTTAAGGTAAATATGTAAAATTAAAATTGCTCATTGTATCTTTAATTAACATAGAACTTTGAAACCAAAGATATACAGTAATTTAATTTATGAGTCCTTACCCATACATACAATTCAGAAGCTGAAACACTATCACAGCACTTTTACAGAACGATGGACTCAAAGATGGGTTGAAAACAAAAATTATGGACTGAAACAACTCCAATCAGTTTAACCCAGAGATCACAGTGAATCACTGATAGAAGTCAGAGTCCAAATGCACAGGTTTAACATATATCCCACTCCATCCACAGTACCACAGTCCAGTTTCCTAAGTTTGATTTTAAGCCTCCAGCTGACTGTAGGTTAAATGCTCTTTGAGTGAAAGGTGTCCAACACATTATGCCTGCAAGCTGTCAGCTCATGAATAGAGCTTTAGTTTCTACTTTTCCAGTAAATTAAAACCATACACAAACTGCAATCTAAACATGCACGTGTCTCTAGAATAATATCAGAACAGAAAAATAATCATAGTATGACCATAATTATGTTTTCTCCTTAATCATTCCAATGCAACTGCACTTCCAGTTGCAAGTGTTCAGTGATTCCTTTACTGCACCACCAGATGTCCCTGCCCAGCTGTGCTCGAAGCACCCTGATGGATGCTAACCTACAATTCATTTCCTTTAAACTGACCTCAAATCCTTTCTTCACTAATACTGAAAATCACAAGACACCTGAATCATGCAAAGAGAAAACAGCACTCCAACCCCCTACTTTTTTTCCTCTAGGAAACAAAAAATACTTCTAATGCCTATTCTAATTACACAAAAAATTTCAATTCTATGCAGAAAGTTATTTAGTGTATTGGAATTTTATTAATTATGCTTACTTTTCTTTTTTTTTTGTTGTTTTTATGTGTATTTGGAGCTACAGCTGTGAATCTCCCTGAAAAATACATCAAAGTTAAATATGTAGTTCAGTAAGGAAGTGATGCTGAAGACACAATTAGAATTTTTTTTCCCCCCTTAATTTCCTATTTAATTTTTAAAAAGTAAAAAGTTCAATTAAGCTCTTAAATAAAATTTTATTAATGTTGCTTGCTGTCTAAATTGTCTTCTGTAAAGCCATTCTGCAAAACTAACGGGTGTGCAAAAATAGTGTTTATTAAGGGTTTTATAAACAGGAGCCCTAGACAAACAATACTTGCAGTCAAGAGCAATTTGTACTGTAATTCCCCTTCTCTGGCATGACCATTTTACTCTAACAAATGAAGAGGCAACCAACAACAAAATTGTAATTCTAATTTTTTGCTTTACATCATGGATCATGAACTCACTATATTTAAGGTTTCAGAATGCTGGTCTAGAGATTGAAGTGACCATTTTTATTCATTCACTAGGTACACAACACTGGCAGCAACCAAAAAAGCCCTACACACTGACTACAAATACTTTTTTTGGGGGGAGGGGAGTGGGGGGAGGTGTGCTGTGTCCACCCCCTTGCAGAGACATCACAAATTCAGTGACTGGCCTTGACACTGGCTGCTGAGGTACAACAGTGGCTGCACATGGCACTTTTCATGAACACCTGGCTGCTAATAACTGAACTAAGAGTAATGATTTGCTTCATACAGCCACTAATTGGTAATAATAATGCCACCACTAATTGGTTATAATAACTTTTACTCAATGCTTCATTGCTCAAGGGGTGAAAAAGCCTGCACTCTGCTGACCCCCACAAGCTACTCAAGCTTCAAATGAGCCTAGTACAATGCAATACATGTGCCCAGCACTGCAGACACCCCTGAGAGAGGAAAAATCTAGTGAACTGCAAGGGGTTTTTTTTAGGGCACTATTCAACTTGCAAAGCTGGGGTAACAGTTGTATGGCATCAGAGGAACCTGGTGTAGCTCACCTACCCTTCTGCGAGGGCATGCAGTGATAGGACAAGGAGGACAGGCTTTAAACTGAGAAAGCAAGTTTAGATTAGATATTAGGAAGAAACTCTTCACTGTGAGAGTGATGAGGTACAGGTTTCCCAGACAAGCTGTGGATGCCCCATCCCTGGCAGCATTCAAGCCCAGCTTGGACAGGTCTTTGAACAGTCTCTTTTAGTGGAAGGTGTCCCAGCCTGTGACAGTCATTAAGGTTCCTTCCAAACCAGAACATTCTACTGCTCTATTTTCCCACCACCCTGAATGTCCCAGGGACCAAATCCCTTCTGCAAGAGGTCAACACTGTTTTTTGCCCAGCAAGCAGCAATTTAAATGGTACATAATTTGGCTGCATTTTCCCATCAGATGGGGACTGTCCCTGGTACAAAGCCAAGGGCACCAGTGACTTTGCCAGCTGTCCCTTCTGGCACCACGTACCTGATCACACAGCAGAAATGCTCTACTCTGTTCCAGCTTGTGCTTGGCCAGAGACATGCTTGGAGCCAAAGGAGCAGAAGAATCAAGGAGCCAAAGCAATAAATTTGGGTTCTCAAAATTCCCCTGCTGGGACTATTCTGGCACATGAGAAATATGGTTGATTTTAATCGTGCATATTTATAAATTTAACTTACGGCCACACACATTTATTTTTTCGTAAAGGAAACAGCAAAAGTGGAATAGAGCCAAGGCTTGATACAAACTATATTTCCAACAAGACATGAACTAACTGTAATTATGTTTGTATATGTAAAGAGGTGCTGTACATGAGTTAACTGTACTCTCCCTCCATCCTGCGGGAAGCATTTCCCACACTGAACTGCAAGCCTGGATGCCAGCAATTGTATTTTGGGTTGTTTTATTAGTATGCCTGTTTTGGGGTTTTTTATTAGTATGTCTTGTCATAGCTCTTCTCAAGATTTCCTCTGTGACCAATAAACATACACTGCACAAGAAACCTTCTGAGGGAACGTCACTTTTCACCCATGGAACTGGTAAGCAGGAAGCAGCTCACAGTAGTAACAACATGCCATGTTTAACAACATCCCCACAGTGCTTATGGTATCCTTCAGGGTAAGAGTAAATTAGAAACTCCTACATGCAGAGCTCTCATTATGGACACATGGGAAGGAAGCACTTCAAGCACAGGACATGTGTTAGCATTTTACTGCAGCACCTCTGCCTGTGAAGACTGGTCGGGGGGATTGTGTTTCCATGTTAAGGTGTCTTCTTTATGGAGAAGGGAGGATCATAGTGATGAAATGTGACTGTGTCTGAACATGCCAGCTATACCTCTTGCTATTAAATCCCTTGCTTATAGGAATTAAATGTGACTGTGTCTGAACATGCCAGCTATACCTCTTGCTATTAAATCCCTTGCTTATAGGAATTAAAGGCTATCTAGGGTATTTTGTGACCTATGCAAGAGGATAATACAATTTTCTGTTTAAAGTTGCTTAGAGAAGTTACTATATCTCTCTCCTGTTTTTCAACTGGACTCCATGATCTTAAATGATTAATTCCTCATCCTCTCCTCAGCGTTAAAAGCCAACAGCAACAGGTGCCATTTTTCTGCGATGTCTTCTGCATCTATTTCTCTTTTTCTTTTTCCATCTTCTCTTTTGCCCTTTCTTGTTACAAGCTGAGCTGCTCTTCCACATTTCCCCCCAGCTGTC